GACTGCCCCCCGCCGCCCCATCCAATCCCCCCTCCTTCCTGACTGCCCCCCACGAGACCCTTGCCCCATCCAACCAACCCTTCTCCCTGTCCCCTGACTGTCCCCCCCCAAGACCTCTGCCCCTATTCAATCCCCCTGTTCCCCGCCCTCTGACCGCCCTAACCCCTATCCACACCCCCACCCCCTGACCACCCAACCAAACTCCCCTGCTCTCTATCCAACCCCCCCGCTCCCTGCCACCTTACCACCCTGCCTGGAGCACCGGTGGCTGGCGGCGCTCCAGCCACGCTGCCTGGCTGGAGCCAGCCACGCCGTTGCCACCACGCAGCACAGAGCACTGGTCAGGCCAGCCTCTGCAGCTGTGCTGCCCCAGAAGCTTGCAGCCCCGCTGCCCAGAGCATTGCACCGGTGGCAGAGCGAGCTGAGGCTGCGGGGGAGGGGGAATAGCAGGGAACAGCTGGGGGCTAGCCTCCCGGGCCAGGAGCTCAGGGGCCGGGCAGGAGGGGCCCACGGGCCGGATGTGGCCCGCGGGCCGTAGTTTTTCCACCTCTGGTCTAAGCATTTATAGTATGCTTATCACTGTAGTATTTCAGGATGACTATACTGGTTTTTGGGTCCCCAAGAAGTGGCCTGCACTGTATTCCAGCACAGATCTCTCCTCTTTCTTCCCCCATCTCTCTAGACTTCTGTTAGGACCCACTGTGGCTATTTCAAGAGGCTCCTACTGAGTGGATGAAACGATGGCCAGACTCACTACTACTTGTTCTCAGCAGTCAGCCTATTTCCAGGCGTGAAGCCGCTCTGGGTTCTATGCCAAAAAGTCCACATTCCCAGGCCCCATATGCTGCCTTTACTCTTCTAATTCTTGGCCTCATGGAGAGGTATGGAACCCAGTGTCTGGGTCAGTAGCTTGCAGTTGGGAGAATGAAGCTGATTCCTGTTTTTTTTTAAAAAAGGTGGTGGGGGGGGGGCTCAGTGACACCCCCCACCCCTCAGTTCTTCCATTAGTCACAGACTCTGGGCCTTCCTAGTACAGCATCCCATTATGATATTACCCAAATGATTAAAGTTAGCTAATCCCTACTTTACAAGTGTCTATATAGACTCATGGCTAGTTTTCTAGGGGTTAAATACTGCTATGTCTATGCCTTTTATATTACAATAGAATGCTTGGTGCAAAATCTCCCATAAAGCAAATACTTTCACATATTTCAATTCTGTCCAGCTGTGGGATATGTAACTAGATTATTTCATTGCAACTGAAAAGATCAACCAGGAAAGCAATCTTGTGGAAAAAAAAACCCACCAACCAAGTCAAACCAACACAACACACATAAATTTGGCAAAAATATCTGGTATTTACTAATCACTTTCAGTTACAGTGATGAGATTATAGCTAGATTAGTAATGTTTGAGCTCAAAGTCAGAAAATGTGCATAGATACATTGCCATGTTGGAGAATTTAAGTGAAGTTTGATGTGCCTCTCGATTTTACATCAGTGTTGTCTTCACTAAAGCCCATATGGCTGGGCATTTGGTTCTGTGTTTCCATTTTTCCTATAATGGGTGCAGAATACTTGAAAAAACACTGGGCACATATTAGAGTTCAGCTGTAAGAGACCGCTAATGTATATGCTAGAACTGTGTATGATAGTTGGAAAAATCATGGGTAAAAATACAAATCTGGGTAGATGTGTTGTATGAAACAAACAAAAAATGTAAATTTGTTGGGCCCTTTTCTTAGAGTATCTGAGCAGTATTTTTTGAAAGTTTTCAGATTATGGGATCTTCAACTGGGATCAATCATGTAGTTCCGTTGACTACATTGGTTCCATTTACAGCAACTGAGGATCTGGCCCTTCAGTATCAGTAATTTGAAGAATAAGGTCCTGATTCTCTCTTCATTTACGCTTGTGGTACTCTACAGATTTCATTGATGTTATTTACACTGGTTTACGTGGATGAAGAATCAGGCCCTATAGCTTTCCTAATTGCTCTATTTAAAGTTTCATGATCGTTAGTTACTAGCCTTTTTTTGGCTAACAAGTTTGTTGTTTTTATAATCTCATTGTGTCAATGTGTCACACTGGCTCTACCAGTTGAGCACAGTTTTATAAGAATCCCGCTCTGTCTGCATCATGCCTCCCTGAGAGCCTGCATGTTTGTAGTTTGCAGCGGTTCGCAAGCATACTAAATGGGTTTCTTTCATCAGAAGT